AGATGCTGCAGATCTAAAAGTCTGTTGTTGAGAGCATCATCTCTTCTACCATCATCTGTTGGGGCAGCAGCATCAGAGCCAGGGACCTAAAAAGGCTCAACAAACTGATAAAGAAGGCTGGTTCTGTTCTGGGGACGACTGTGGAATCTCTGGAGATGATGGTGCAAAGAAGGATTTTACATAAAATGAAGAACATTGTGGACAACCCTGACCATCCTCTTCATCAGACTGTCATAGAAACAGAGAGTCTTCAGATGGATGCTTCTTCAGTTTGGTTGTAATATGGACCACTGTCCACAGCCATCAGCATCTACAATAACTCTTTAGTTCAATGAGTTACAACAACACCTAATTTCCCTCTGGGATCAATAAAGTGTTTTTGAATTGAATTGAATTGAACTGAATCAATATTTTCTTACACCTCTATTGTTTAACAAGTAAAAACACCAGAAAAGTCAACAAATTTATCTTTCAAACATTGGAAAACTTCAGTTCATCAGATAGATRGAAGCTTCTATTCACTGGAAAAAATCTAAATCTTCTGAAAACTAAACAAAATGTTCAAGAGTTTACTTGTCATCATCAGGTAAAGGTTGAACTCAGCAAAACTTGAAAAAAAAGCGTTGTCACAGCAACCAAAATCTCTACTTCCAGAAGCTGAAAAGTAAGAGAAGGCCTGACTTAGTGCTCCACTAAGGGGGTCAGAGGAAAGAGTCTTCTAAAGACTTAGACTGATGAAATGAATGACAAAAACCTGGGGAGGAACAACTAGGAACAGGTGAGAATGGGCGGGGCAGGAGCAGAACTGAGGAACAAAATATCAGTAGAGTAGGAAAACTAAACAAGAAGCATCAAAACCTTTMATAACTAAACAGAAAACACTACTAAGAACAACTTAGCTCCAGGTCAGCATAAAGCTTGTATCATATCCATGACAAAGATCCAAAAACAAACCCTGAAAAATGACCGAGCTGGGCCCTCAGACCTGAAACTTGCCACCTACACCAATAGTTTGACCTCATTCCAACCAATGGTTATGGTTAGGTTAGCTTCTGGGTAAATAAAACCTGGATTTTGATCATAAATTAGGTAGGTTTCAGCAGAATAATTGTGCAGAAATCAGAGAATAAAAAGCAGAAAAGTCAACAGATACCTTAATGCTCTTATACAGGACTTTAACATTGTCCAGCTGGAACCACACGTCTTTAACCCTGAGCTCCGGGGACACTGCGGGGGTCGGACATGTCATCTGAGAGGACGCAAGGACAGAACAGTGTTCTGATACCTGTGAGACAAACAGGTGAGCAGACAGGTGAGCAGACAGGTGAGAACTGAGGATGGTGGTCTCATTGGTCAGTTGGCCTCACCATCATCATGGTGGGGTTGAAGACCAGTTGTTGCTTGGTGGTCAGCAGAGCCAATCGTCTTCTTCGTTTCACCCTCTGAACCACCAGAGGCTCCACCCCCACACTGATCTTTGGTTGCTGCACCACATCCAAGTTCTTTCCTGTTACCATGACCACACGGCCACCTCTGCAACAGGAAGTATACACCTGATCAGGAGGTGTGAACRTATAATCATTCTGTTTCATCAGTTCTTAGATCCTTACGCATAAAAACTCTCTGCAGGTGTGGCGTCAGTGATGATAGGGTCGTCAACGTAATGAAAGGTAATGTTAGGAACTGTCTTCTCCGCTTTACCAAAGAACACCCGAGCTGGGACAGAATGAGTCTGACTGCTGGAACTGGTCTCACACACCAACTGGGAGTCAGTCACCTCCTCCAAACTGTGGAACACAAGAAACAAGGAGACATGGAAGGATGCTAGGAGACAAGATCTTTGTGTGAAGCTTTTTACAAGTTGTCTGCTAACTGGGCTTCTACCGGCAGTCAGATCTGACTGTAATATAATACTACAGTCAGATCTGACTGTAATATAATACTACAGTCAGATCTGACTGTAATATAATACTACAGTCAGATCTGACTGTAATATAATACTACAGTCAGATC